CTCCCCCTGCTTGTGTTCCCTCTCTCGCTGTGTCTCTCTCTGTCAAATAAATAAATAAAATCTTTAAAAAAAAAAAAAATCTTTAACAACTAGAATCACATTCAGACTAGTAAGAGAGTCTCACTAAGATACGCACACCCAAACTGAGCCAAGTAAAAGAACAGTTAACTCATATATCCTATACCCTATTCTGAAGCACATGTTCTCTGGGAAGAACAACAAGAGAAACAATCTGCACTTTTTAAATTGTTATTTTTCTCTTTTATTGTTATCACTTTTATTGAGTACCTAGTGTTGGATGTGCCTAAAGGAGACTGGTTTACATAATGATTTGACTCCACTGCTAGAGGGGAAAAAATGGCAAAGACGTTTATATTTCACACACAACAAAACTGACAAAACTAACAAAATTGTGTGTTTCCAAAATATTAAACTAGCCACCATATGTGCTCCACTGATTTCTCCAGATTCCTTAGTTCAAGTGCGGATGAGAGATAGGTCTACCCATCACGTGAGCTCTTACTTATAGGAAATGTATTTTTTATGGCATTTTCTACAATCTGCCACCCTGGGCCTACTTCTCTTCCCACATAGCTTCTGCAGTGATCTTAATTCCTTCAGAGGACATGTACTGTCAAACACAGAGAGTTAGATCTCATTAATACAGCTTCTCAGTGAGTTAGAATTAGAACCCATGTTGTTTGTATCCAGGTCCAAAATAAGATATGGATGAAAAGTGGAGATGGGCAAGAAAATATGAGTTTTCTAAATACACAGGAACACTTTAGCCAAGGAAACGGAGAAACTGTACTGTATGACTTAACTGCCTGAAGCCCCATATATACATATGTGCGTGCGTGTGTGTGATGTATCTGTATGGATAATGTGTTTGTGTGTGAATTTATCTGTCTGCATACACATATACACATACATATATTACATATACATATTTATTTTTCATAACAGTCCCAATCCATGAAGTAAGGATAATAATAGTATCTACCTCATGGAGTTGTTATGAGATTCAATAAAGGCCTTACTCTGTGCCAAGCACTATGCTACATGCTTTATATGCACTAATTTTATTTACAGATGAGGAAACTGAAACAGGAAGAGATTATGCAACTTGCCAACAAAGCTGTAAGTGGCAAAATGGAAATCAAAGCCAGGCTAAGTGGCTTCTTTTTTTTTTTTTTTTTTTTAAAGATTTTATTTATTTATTTTGAGAGAGAGAATGAGAGAGAGAGAGAGAGAGCATGAGAGGGGCGAGGGTCAGAGGGAGAAGCAGGCTCCCCGCTGAGCAGGGAGTCCGACGCGGAACTCGATCCCGGGACTCCAGGATCATGACCTGAGCCGAAGGCAGTCGCTTAACCAACTGAGCCACCCAGGCGCCCAGGCTAAGTGGCTTCTAAGCCCAAACTCTTACCTTACCAACCAGGAAATATTTAATGCTCTATAAATGTTAACTAAGACTTTCAAAATCATTATTGATAACGAAAATAAAAGTTAAAAGTTTACAAAAAAATATAAAGACTCAAAAAACTACATCAAGGAAAGGGATGATTAACAGGTTTTCAGAATCTAAGGGATGATTTTTCTATCCCATAACAGAAACCCTTACAAGTAATGAATATTAATATTGGATGAATGTACTAACATAGAAGAGTACAAACAGTAGTGTAGCAAGTTGAATTATGTCCCCTAAAATGATATGTTCAAGTCCTAACTCCTAGTACCTGTGAATATGACCTTACTTGGAAATAGGGCTATAGGGTCTTTGCAAATATAATCAAGTTAAGATGAGATCATAGATTAGGGTGTCCTTAAAAGACAGAAATTTGGACAGACACACATAGGGAGATGTCAACAAGAAGAGAGAAGACCCACAGAGCTACAAGCCAAGGAATGCCAAGGATCACTGGCATTAACCAGAAGCTAGCAGAAAAGAATGAATGGAAAAGATTCTCCCCCCAAGCCTCCAAAAGGAACCAATCTTTCCAACACCTTGATTTAGAACTTCCAGTGTCCAGAACTGTGAGAGAATAAATGTCTGTGGTTTTAAGTCACCCAGTTTGTGGTAATTTGTTACAGCAGCCTAGGAAGCTAATCTAATCAGTATTATGTCAGAATAATATAAAAAATTACAAAGTTTCATTTAGGAAAATAGTTTGGCCCTTTCTTGTAAAATTAGCTATGCACACAGCAATCATACTCTCGAATATTTATCCTAGAAAAATGAAAACTGTACATGAATGTTCACATAACTTTATTTGCAATACCCCACAACTGGAAATAACTCAAATTGGTTAAATGGTTATTCAAGCATTCAATGGGAAAAGAGCTAAATAAACTCTGATACATCTATAAAGTGAATACTATTCAACAATAAAAAGGAACAAACTTTTTGTTGAAACATGCAACAACTTGGATGGACCTCAAGGGCATTATGCTTAGTGAAAAAAGCCAATCCCGAAAGGCCACATACTGTTTGACTCCATTTATATAACATTCTCAAAATGATAAAACTACAGAGATGGAAAACAGATTAGCAGGTGCCAGTGTACAGGGAAGGGGGTGGGTAGAGCCTGACTATAAAGGGGTAGCATGAGGGAGTTCCTTTGTGGAGATGAAACAGTTCTGTAACTAATACCACAAATCTATACACTGGATCAAACTGCAGAGAACTATACATACATACACACAAATGAACACATATAGAAACTGGTAAAAACTAAACAAGGTCTGTAATCAATTCAAGAGTACTGTACAAATGTCAATTTCCTGTTTTGATATTATACTACAATTATGTAAGATGTCACCATTGGGAAAAGCTGGGGGGAGGGTTCACAGAATTCTATGTACAATTTCTGCAACTTCCTCTTAGTCAATAAATTATTTCAAAATAAGTTTTTTTTTTAAAGCCACCTGAAGAACAAGAGAGGGATAAAATATACGAAAACAGTATCAAAATGTTGTTTCTTACCTTCAGACTCTTTAGATAATTTGAGAGCATACTTGGATGGAACCGATTTTCTTCAGCAACTTGACTATCGTATCTTGGTCCTAACATTGTCTTCAGAGGTAAGAATCTTCCTAAACAACATTAAGATGGGTAACAATTTTCATTAAAGAAAATGTTCCAGGTTGAAACTATAATTAGCAATTCTCAAAATCACTTCCTTAAAACGTTTTAAATGCAACTGTTCATGATGCAGTCTCAATTTAAACTACACTTTTAAAAGGTACCACCTTAGAATTTTTTAAGGACAACATAAATTCCAGAAATTGACAATCAAATAGAATAGCAAAAGAAAGGGGCGCCTGGGTGGCTCAGTCAGTTGAGCATCCAACTCTCGGTTTCGGCTCAGGTCATGATCTCAGGGTCATAGGATCGGGCCCCTCATGGGGCTCCAAGCTCAGCAGGGAGTCTGCTTGAGATTCTTTCCCCCTCCTTCTCTCTCCGCTTCTGCTCCTCCCCAGAACACACACTTGTGTGCACTCTCTCTCTCTCTCTAAAATAAATAAATATGTATTAAAAAAAAAAAAGAAAAGAAAAACTACCAGTGAGTGGAACTTCCAAAAAAACTCTTAAGTTGGGGGCTCAGGTACGGATGAAATAGGTAAAGTGGATTAAGAGGTATAAACTTCCAGTTATAAAATAAATAAGTCACAGAGATGAAAGGTACAGCATAGGATAGAGTCAGTAATATTGTAATAACATCGTATGGTGACAGATGGCAACTATACTTATTGTAGTGAGTACTGTATAATGTACAAAATAGTCAAATCACTATGTTGTACACCTGTAATTACTATAACATTGTATGTCAACCATATTTCATTAATAAAAATTTTTAAGCAAAAATAATTTAAAAATTAAAAAAAGTTGGCTAACAGTTTAAAAAAGGACTAAGCTTTTAAACTACTACTTTAAAAAGTTATTGCCTTAAAGCCTTTAAAGATATATTAGAAAACTGATAATGGAGTGCATTAAATCAGTCTTTAAAATTCCCAATTATACTTCTTTACTATGAGGTTGGAACTTTCTCCATCTTATGCACTTTATCCTGCATTCCAGGATAGGGATCATGCTGAGAAGCACGCTAGCCAAAATCACTCTTCAAACAACTATCAGTGATCATAATTTCAACAAGACTAACTGACACTTGTGGCCTTTTTTTTTTTCCTGAATCATATATAAGCATAGGAGGAGTCACCTTATATAATCAATTTTAAAATCAACTATTTTAATTGATTTATATCTTAAAACACAGTATCAGTAGGAATAAATATCTACCTAAAATAACATGAGTGAAATCTTAACATCTGTCCAGACACTTTAACCTAAATTTCATAAAAACATAATCTTTTAAAGTTTTATGTTTTGGGTACCTGGGTGGCTCAGTTGGTTAAGCGTATGCCTTCAGCTCAGGTCATGATCCCAAGGTCGTGGGATCGAGTCCCACATCGGGCTCCCTGCTCAGTCGGGAGTCTGCTTCTCCCTCTACCCCTTCTCCTGCTCGTGATCTCTCTCTCTCATAAATAAATAAAATCATTAAAAAAATAAATAAAGTTTTATGTTTTATGTACCAAACCACTCAAGATCACCAATAACCACCACATTGCTAAATCCAATGGTCAACCTCAGTTCTCAAACTGGCCACTTTTTAATTCAAGATCACTTTTTAATTCAATTTAATTTTTAATTCTTGAATCACTTTTTTACTTGGCTTTCAGGATACTACATCCTCCTGGTTTTCCTCCTATTTCTCTGACCTCTACTTTTCAATCTCCTTTACTGGCTCCTCCTTATCTCCCTGACCCCTCAATGTTTTGTCCTAGGGCTGTCCTTGGACCTCCTTCCTATCAACATTCACTAGCCTGGTGTCTCATCTGATCATAGAGCTTTAAAAGCCATGAATGTGCAGCTGACGCACAATGTGTATCTCCAGTCCAAACCTCTCCCAGAACTCTAGGCTCAAATATCAAACTGCTTACCTGACTTAGTCTCTACTTGATGTGTAACAGATGTCTCAGACCTTATCTCCAAACCTAGCTCTCAATATTCAAACTCTTAAAAGGTGCTCCTCTCATGGTCTTCCTCATCTCAGCAAATAATAACACTATTTTTTTAGTAGCTCAGGCCAAGCCCTTTCACATTATCCTTGACCCCTCTCTTTTTCTCATACCCCATTTTCAATCCATCAGCAAATCCTCTCGGATCTTCAAAATACACCTAGAATCTGACCACTTCTCACTACTTCTACCATCAACTCACATAAATTATTATACTACATTTAGCTTATTTAACAAATATTTAAAGAGTACTTATTATGTACCAAGCATTGTTCTAGGTACATGGAATGCATTAGTGAAAAGAAAAAAAAACAGGTAAAAATCCCTGCCCTCATAGAGCTTACACTCTATTGGGGAAAGATAAACCATAAACAAGAAACATAATAAATAAGTAAATAATAGGATACATTAGAAGATTCATCTCACTAGACCCTCTCTCCTTCTGTTATCTCAGAGGTCCAATCCTGTTTCCATCAGCTCCTCCAGGCTTCGCTTCCCTTCTCCAGTGTCAGAGTCCACAGCTGATCATCACAGTCAGTCCCCACTAAGTACCCTTAGCCTCCCTGATCCACCATATCACTCAGCCACACTTACCTGAGAAAAACCCGAATCTCAATAAACTCAACCACCTGACTTCTTTGAGCCTACCCCTGTGCAGTTCAGGGCTCCCAGAGAAAAATCTCACCACATAGCAGATGGCTGACACTATAAACTATGTCTAAATCATCTCCCTAGCCCTAAGGACTAGCACAAAGTAGACTCTCAAATGTTTGCTAGGTAAAATGACTCCAAAGTCACATCCCTATCACAAAACTGTTTCATATTACATTCCTACAGTTAGTTCCAAGTTCCTCACACATAGTAAGCACAAGATAATTTTATGTTGAATGATCTACCTTTAAGAAATGAGAATTTTGCTATTTTCAAAGTGTTCCCTTGAAATCTATCACTCATAAGGTAAAAAAAATAATTTTTCAGAAATACAGCTTGGCCCTATCTCCAGGAGCTCTCCCCCATTGGAAGTTTGGTTTAATCAGAGGAGGTAACTTCATAGTGGAACAGATTATTAGTACCATCTTCTTTCTGATTCAGAAAAATTATGAACATCTAGTACTATTGACGTATATCCTAATATTCACAGTGAGAAAATGTAAGCAGCCATAACACATTCTCCTAAATATGCCAAATACCAAGAAAATTATACAATAAGCGCAGATTACTTTTATAATCAGAAAAAAAAAACGAGAGAAAGAAAAAAGGACGTAGAAAATGGAATGTGAATTATTCCTTATTTTTCATTACAGCTTGCAAGAATATAGCTAGTATTTCTTGCTCCACCTACTATAAAACACTGCTAATATGGCATTTCCAAAATACACAATATGGCATGAACACTTCAAGGACAGACAGAGACAGAACTTTAAGGGAAATTTAGAGAAACTTATCAAGAATTGTACGTTGTGTTCACTTTACTTTCTAATAAGCATCACAAGCTGAAGCAGTATTGATTACTAGTAAACATCCAGTTCGACTGTCAGGAGGCCTGGGGTTCTGTCCAGGGATCACAACTAATCTGATAGGTGAGCTTAGTATCTCACTGAATCATAATAATTAAGAGTTTAATTTTTGGAGGCCAAAATATTCCAATACAGGGGCGTCTGGGTAGCTCAGTCGTTAAGCATCTGCCTTCAGCTCAGGTCATGATCCCAGGGTCCTGGGATCGAGCCCCACATCAGGCTCCC